TAGGGATACATTTGACAAAAGATGTGCAAGACACATATACTGAAAACTGCTAAGGGAAATTAAAGAAGACTTAAATGGAGAGCACATGTGTTCATAGATCAAAGACTTGGAATTGTTGTTAAGATGTCAATTCTCTCCAAACTGATCTATGGAATCAAAGTCCTAGCAGGCTTTTTTAAAAAAAATGTTGACATGCTGTTTCTACATTTATATGGAAGTATAACAATATTTGCATGGAAATGCAAAACCTATACGGAATAGCTTTTGAAATTTTGAAAAAAGAGAACGAAATTAAAGAGAGTGCAGACATATAATCATAAAGATATGGCTGATTTATTTTTGATAAAGATGTCAAAGCAATTCAATGAGGAAAGTATAATCTTTTCAACAAATGGTGCTGGAACAATTGATAACCAATGTGAAAATTAAACCTCGGTCCTTAACTCACACTATATATAAAAACTTACTTAAAATGGATTCTAAAAACAAACTTATGGTTACCAAAAGAGAATGTAGGGTTAGGGAGAAATAAATCAGGAGCATGGGATTAACATACACAAACCACTATATATAAGCTGGGCTTCCCAGGAGGTGCTAGTGGTAAAGAACCCTCCTGCCAATGCAGGAGACACAGGAGATGTGGGTTTGATCCCTGGGTTGGGAAGATGCCCTGGAGGAGGGCATGACAACCTACTCCAGTATTCTTGCCTGGAGAATCCCATGGACAGAGGAGCCTGGTGGGCTATGGTCCACAGGGTCCCAAAGTTACACATGACTGAAGCAACTTAGCATGAACGCATATTTAAGATAGATAGCCAACAAGGACCTACTGTGTAGCACAAGAAACTCAATGTTCTGTGATAACCTATGTGAGAAAAGAATCTGAAAAAGAACAGATGTATGTACATGTACAACTGAATCATTTTGCTATACACCTGAAACCAGCACAACTTTGTAAATCAACTATAATCCAATAAAATTTTTAAAAAACATTTAAAAATGGATCTTATATCTAAATGTAAGATCTAAGCCTATAAAACTTCTAGAAGAAAACAAAAAAAAATCTTAATGACCTTAGATTTGGCAGAGATTTATTAAGTAGGATTAAAAAGCAATATATAAAAGAAAAAAACTCATAAAAGAATAAACCGGTAAATTGGACTTCATAAAAATTTTAAATGTTTGCTTTTCAAAAGACGATGAGAAAAAAAAAGGCAATGAGTGGTGATCATTTTGTAGTATGTAGAAATATTCAATCACTCTTGTGCACCTGGAACTACCACAGTTTCTAGGTCAATTATACTCAGTAATAAAAATAAGAAAAGAAAAGAAGCGCCAGACCTCACACACAGACAGACAAAAACCCCACAAATACATACATGCAAATTCATTTGGATGATACCCCCTCAAATAGAGACAATGATGAGAAAATAAAATGATGAGTCAGACTGGGAGAAATCATTTCTATAACATATCACCCAATAAAGGACATATATCTAGAATTTTTAAAAGTTGAAACTTTTACAACTCAATAATAAGAAAATAAACAACCCAACTTTAAAATATGAGCAAAACATTTGAATTAATACTTCATTAAAGAACATATACAGTTAGTAAATAAATACATGAAAAAATGTTCCATATCATTAGTACATGGATGTTTATGGCAGCTTTATTGATAACCGTCAATCCTTGGAAACACCAAGATATTCTTCAGTAGGTGACTAGTGTATCTAGACAATGGAATCCTATTTAGGGTTAAAAAGAAATCTGCTATCAAGTCATGAAAAGGCATGGAGGAATCTTAAATGCACTCTGCTGAGTGAAAGAAGCCAATCTGGAAGAGCTACACAGTGTATGATTTCAACTATATGACATTCCAGAAGAGGTAAAACTATGGAAACGGTAAAAATATTAGCAGTCACCAGGTGTTGCAGAAGTGGATTGATGAATAGGCAGAGCAGTGAGGATTTGTAGGGCAGTGAAAATACCCTGTATGTTACTCTATTGATGGATGCATTTGTCTAAACCTGTAGAAATTTTTAAAATTTGGTGCACAACACCAAGAATGCACTCTAAAGTAAACTATGGATTTTGGGTGATTATGATGCATCAGGTTTGTCAGTTTTAACAAATGTACCAACAGGGGATGGCAATAGTGAGGGAGGCTGTGCGTGTGTTGGGGCGGGAGGGATATGCGAACTCCCTGCACCTTACCCTTTGCTGTGAATCTAAAACCACTTTTAAAAAAAGTTTTTAAACATGAAACACACATACACACACCCCTGACCTGAAGGGTTCTAGAAAAGGAATTAAGAACTTTTTGTCCAAGCCCAGCACAAGGCTAATAAAGAATTCACACACACACACAAAAAAGAGAACAAAGTAAATCTCAAAACAATGCATACAATATTAATCAGTTTAATAAAGTTCCAAGTGAGAAACGACTGCAACTATAAAATAAAGGAGTGACATTTTGCTGTGCACCAGAAACTGAACTCAACATTATAAACCAACTATATTTCAATTCAAATGTAAATAATAAAATTTTAAAAGCAAAAAATAAAGTAAAGGGAGTGATAAATATACGATCAGGATTGTGGTTGATTGTCACCAGGAAAGAAGATAATGAAATCAGGAAGAACACACACAGTGCTTCAAGGATAGTGGTAATATTCTATTTCCTCCACTGAACCAGGTACAAAAGTCTTCATTGCATCATTATTCTCTATACCATCATATCTTTTCTAAATTTTTTAATCTACTCAATTAAAAATAACGAAAAAATAAAGATCACCTGCCTGTGACAAGCCAGGAGCAGTTGGGAATGCTATCAAAGGTCTAATTAGTATTGGGGTGGAATGAGGACGGAGACTTGCCCCACTGATCTGTGAAAATTCTGGGGTGATCTTCAGGATGCGACTAACTCACTAAACTGAGATCAGCCTCCGTAAGCACCTAACAGGCCCAATGTTCCTCTTTTCCCAGTGATTCACAGCTGTTCTAAATAGTTCATGGATCAGACTTCAAGTGAGTGAAATTTTCCAGAGGCTTAGTAGAAATTTTGGTGTAAAGAGCATGAAAGCTTCATCCCACGTCCTCAGAGGCCTTCTTGCTTTCCATACTGAGCATGGGATGCTGTGGGAGCTGACGGAGATGGTGTGTAGATATGAGGGTCTCCATCTAGGTACCACCCAGTGGTAAGGGCAGTTAAGGAGAAGTTGGAGGCATGAGGATGGAAAGATTTCTGGGGTTAATGTGGAAGCTCCTTAAAGACCTAACTCTGAGAGTCTGTATTTTACAGAGTGTTAGGTCTGGAAGTTCATCTAAACACATTTCATTTTCTTAATTTTCTTTAGGGCTGGCTGAGACTTCTCTTCCTCTTCTGAACCTGTGGGTTCTTTCACGTCACATCACCTGCGAGGCTTACTGCCTCACTGCCTCTCCCTACACCCATATTCACCCCCCAGTCCCACTGGATTCCCTGGGGCCACCTGCAAAAAAAAAAAACGTGTCTCTCAGATAATGGAAAATTTATTCTAAATGCTTATTTTAGCTTGAGAAGCACACGCTGTCTCGGGTCTCTGTTGCTGATATATCTGTTCTGAAGTGTGGTTTTTGCACAGTTGAAGGGTCATGCTGACTCTCCTCCTGCCTTCAAGCAGGACTGCCTTCCCCCATTTCTGACAGCTCGTTTCGTCTCTGAGTCACCAGCTGCGGGCCTGGTGGGTATTATGATGGGAAGGGGAGAGGAGTGTGGTCCCTGTGGAAAGAAGCCTGGGCCCTTCCATTGGGGAGCTCTCAGTCCACCAGCACATATGCAGAGGTAGGCTCGTGGTTCCCATAAGGCCCCCTGGAGCTGAAGAGCGATGCCGTGTTCTTCATGTTGCCCCCGTTCCCAACTCTTCTCAGGTTTCTCAGGCGATCAGATACCTTCTGTCTCTAATTTCTTCAGGATCAGTGGCTTGAGTGTTGGCCATGAGCCTGAGCCCTAAGCTTATAGATAGGGCCTCTGGAAATTGCCTTTCTTTTTTCCTCTGCTCTTTCCCAGGAGTCCCTCTTTGCCTTTTACTCAGATTTCCAATGAGACCGAACAGCCTTAGTTGTACTGTAGAAAAAGAGAGCTGAGGCCAGAGTCTAGAAAAACTTGTATACAAATTTGTCTGGGCTTTGGATGGAAGGAGCATACCAGGGGGCTAATCTCATATGTAATTTGGTGCCGTTACCAGTTGGACAGAAAGGAAATCAAACCAGTCAATCCTAAAGGAAATCAGCCCTGAATATTCACTGCAAGGACTGCTGCTGAAACTGGAACTCCAATACCTTGGCCACCTGATGTGAAGAGCCAACTCATTGGAAAAGACCCTGTTGCTGGGAAAGATTGAGGGCAGGAGGACAAGGGGGCAAAAGAGGATGAGATGGTTAAATGGCATCTTGGACTCAATGGACATGAGTTTGAACAAATTCCAGAAGTTAGTGAAGGACAGGGAAGCCTGGCATGCTGCAGTCCGTGGGGTCACAAAGAGTCGGACACGACTGAGTGAGTGAACAACCGCCAATCTTCTCCCTTCTGTCCTGCTCCAGTTTGGTAACTAGAAGCGTGTAAGACTTGGAACAGGACAAGATCGGACACTTGAATTCTCACCATTGCTCTTCCTGTGAATTTCTGTGTAGCCTTCAAGCAACTTCCTGCCTCCTATCCCCAGTAATTTCATTGGTGAAATGAACGATTGTTGCGCTGATTCTGCCCAGGGTTTGTGAAGGCTGGTGGGATAGCACTTTGAAACATGCTTTACATGCTTTGCAAGGTCTCTGAGCTCTATGTGGGAATTCTCGAACAACTGGGAGGGTACTCATGTCATCCACAACCCTCAGGGTGCTGATGGTGCTGGAAACAACCTGGTCAATCTGAAGGATGAAAGTCAATTGCAAAGTTGAAAATGGGCCCCAGATGCAAGGAGATCAGACAGTTAGACTTACTTCCTCTTTTCTAATTTGAGAGGTTTAGTGTTGAAGAAAATCAGTGTGTTAGAAGCTGCAGGAGACCTAAACACAGTTACCACGAAGCTAAGCTCTGTCCTCATGGCTGGGGCCTTCTACTTTTCTCCTGCTTTGCTCTGGGCAGCTCAGATGCTACTGGGTAAGTAAAATCTTCGAATTTGTGGAAATGGAGATACGTCGGACTTTGGGGGAAAGACCCAAAAGAAAGCAGCGTGGACTAACTTCAGCACTCAGAAGCCAAGTTCAGGTGGGATCTGGCTAGTGTAAGAAAGTTTCGCGTGCAGGACTGGATGGCTCTTTCTGAATGGTATTTTTTTTCACCCTAAAAAATCCCCTTGACTATGATGCCCTCTTTAGCTACAGTCTCAACTCTTTTCTTCTTTTGCTCAGATAAATCTCTTGAAAGAGTAGTCTGCATTTTTGCCTTCTCTATTTGCCCACTTGTCACTCACTATTAGCGACTGCAGTCTGCCTTCCGCTGGACTCAATTTTGGCCAGAGCGCAACAAACCCTGTACAGACGCTTCAGACTTTTAAGGTCTTACCCCGCTGGACTTCTCTGCTGCGTCAGGTACTGCTGACCACTTATTCTTCCTCGGCAATCTCGATTCCCCTGGCTTCTCTGTGCTTCATGTATCTCTCTTGGTCCCTTTGGTATCTTCTTTGTCTTTCCCGTAAAGACTGCCATTTTCTACAGTTGCATCCTTGCCCCCTTAGTTTTAAATTTACAATCTCCTCAGTGAACTTATTTGTCTATTTAGCTTTTACCACAACTGTATAATTAAGAGTTCTAAGTGATGCATCACACCCTAATCATGCTTTTGAGTTTCACATTCAAACATCAAGCTTTGCACAAGACATAGCTACCTGCATGTTTCAAGATATCTCAGCACAATATGACCAGAGTTGAACTCATCTATCCGCTTGGTCCCTCCCGCTCCTAATTTCATCCTTTTGGTTTTTTGACTGCACTGTGTGGCTTGAGGGATCTCAGTTCCTTAACCAGGGGTTTAACCTGGGCCATGGCAGTGAAAGCCCGGAATCCTAGTTACTAGACCATTAGGGAGGTCCCCAAATTTCATTTTTCACTATTTTATCTCAGTTAATGGAATCCATCCAGACATCTGGGTCAAAAATTGGGAGATAACGTAGATTCCTCCCTCTCCTTCATCCTCTACACATGATCAGTTATCAAGTTTGGCAAAGTCTACCCTCTAAGTTGGTCTTAGAGCCAGTCTCTTTCCTGAAACATGACTAATGGTATCTACTAGGACAAGCTCTCATCATTTCTGTTTTGTGCTAATCCAACAACTTCCTAACTAATCTTCATATCTCAGCCTTGTGTCCTTGAAATAAGTTCTGACTCTGCAGCCAGAGTAATTTCTAAAATTCAAGTCTGCCAGCCCAAGCTCCTAATCATGGCATTCAAGTCCCACCATAACTTGGCCCTGTTTCAACCTCTTCTCTCTTCCTCTGAGCCTTGAAAAAAATCCCAACCTGCTTATATTTACCCGCCAAACTGTTATTTATCTCCAAAGTTTTCTCCATATTGCTACTTCTGCCTGAAATGAGCCCCCCTCCCTGCCCCTGCCATTGCGCCCTACTCCTCTCTCACTTACAAACTTCTGGGCACCCCTAAAGACTTAGCTTAGGTGGCATCTTTACCAGGAAATCTTCCTTGAGTCCTCCTCTCTGCTTTGATGGCTGCCTGTGCGATTCTTTCTTACTAATTTGTTCCTCATCTGAAACAATCTCCTCATATGCCTGTGCCAGCCTCTGAACTGGGAGTTCCTTGTAGGCAGGGACAATGTCTTTTTGTTTGATTTTTAAAACTGTATCTTATTTATCTTTGAATTCTCAGCACCCACATTTTCCCTACACAATAGTTTTGTTGAATTGTTTTATTGAACACACAGAAACAGGACTGAGTGACTGTATTATGATACGGCAGTGGTATTGTGGTGAGAAGCCCAGACTCAGAATCAGATGCTCTGGTTTCAAGCCACTCTTCTTTTATTTACTAGCTCTGTATCACTTGGAAAAGCCGCATTTCATATTTCTGAACTCAGTTTTCCTATCCACAAAATGAGAATAATAATACCTGTCACATAGTTGATTGAGTCAAAGTGCCTGGCCTAGCAACATTTTATTTTACAAAATGAGAGGAGGCTGAGTCCAGTTGAGTGAAAGTGGAGGAACTGAAAAGGGGTAGCAGGGTGATGAAGAGGGCTGAGAGAGGATCTAAAGAAAGCACCTGCTGCTGATGTAATGAGAATTAGGAAGTAGACAGGAGCCTTGCTAAGAGAAGTTACCAGGTCAAAGAAGAGTACTGGGACTTTGGAAGTGAAAGGGAGCAAAAGCAAGTGGGACAGGAAAGGACACAGTAAAGAATTGAGGACATGTGAACGGCCATGGGCCCAAAGAGGGAAAGACGCATTAAGAGGGCCAAGAAGCAGTCATGGAGATGAGAGAGATTTACCTAGCTTGGGTCAACCATGGAACTAAGAGGTAGGTTGAGGAAATATGGTGAAAAATCTATGACACTAAGTTTCAACCCCCAAGCAAAGAAAGAATTGTTTCATAGCTACCAGTACAGACTCGGAGTAGAGGGTCAGGGTGGAGGGAAAGACGTAGGATGGGCTCTACCGTTGCCAGGGAAAGCTCAAGGGACAGAGGACATTAAGGTAAAGGAGACTGAAAAAGGAAGACCTGAAAGGAGGAGCCAGAAAGCAGGTACTAAAAGCTAGTTGGTAGATGACATATTCAAGGATGAAGAGCAAAGTGAATTTGGGAAAATGAAAATATGGAAGAAAGCCCCCAAGGAAGGTCTGAGGACTAAAGTAGATCATGTCTGGACAACGAAGTAAAAAGAATACTGACTTTGGGCTCAGACGTACCTGACTTTCTTGCTGTACTCCTTACTCTCTTTTAAAATAGGGTGTAAATGAATTGACTTTTCAAAATCTGTTCACTTATTAATAAGACTTATAAAGTGGGGGTGAAATCACATGCCTAGAAATCTTGTAAGATTTGTGTGATAAAGTGTGAACGTGCCTGGCAATGTCTGGCACACAGTAAACACTCAACAAATGTTAGAATCTGATCTCCTTCCCTTCTTGTCCCACGTCTGTCTGCTTTGGGGTCCTCTTTGCCTTTGGCCTCTGGTTTCCTGCACCTGCAGCTGGATGTCATGCTGGTGAGTTCACCATTCTCTCCCCACCCCCTCCCCAAACCCACAGTCCACTCATTGAGTGCACCCGGGAGCCAGCGAATCAAGTCAAACGTATCCCTCTGAGAGAGCCACATGGGTCTCTTGGGAAAAAAAGGTTTTGATGCTTTCTTACTCTATTTTAAAATGCACGATTCCCCAAGGAGAGGGAGGAACCCCTGTGGACAGCTATTTCCTGTCCTCCTGCTCCAAGCTGCAGCATCATTTTCTGGTTCTTCTCCAACCGTGCTCTCCGCAGCCGCCCGTTTTGAGGCTCTCCAGTGTGAAGGACCAGCCAGCACCCAGGAGGGCATGTGCCGCCCCGAGGATGACTTCATGGACCCAAAGGAAGTCAACTTCCAGGTCAAGGGCTTCACGTTCAGTGAACCCTTCCACCTGATCGTGTCCTACGGTGAGGTCCTAGAAAGGACTGACCAGTGCAGGCAGCTCTTTCTCCCATTTCCCAAAGCTCTCCTTTCAGCCCCACAGCCCACTCAGGAAGGTACCCCCAGGAAATTGGCCATGGGAAGAGATACCATCTGCTCCAACTTCAGCCCAAGAAGCCAGGGTACCCTCTGTGCTAAACCTAGAGAAGCCGTCCCACGCTCCCAACCAGAGTGCAGGTGGCCTGGCCCCTCAGAGAAAGACTAGACGGGTCTACTGTGGGCAGCGCTGAGGGGGCTCCCAAGGAGGGCAGTAGGTCACACTCAGCTTTTGCTTTGGACCACAGACTGGCTGATCCTCCAAAGTCCAGCCAAGCCTATATTCGAAGGAGACCCTCTGGTTCTGCGCTGCCAGGCCTGGCAAAACTGGCCACTGACCCAGATCACCTTCTACCGAGACGGCTCAGCCCTTGGCCCCCCCGGACCTAACAAGGAAATCTCCATCACTATGGCGCAAAAGGCCGACAGCGGACACTACCACTGCAGTGCTGTGTTCAGGAGCCCTGGTCCTGGGAGCCCAGAGACGGCATCTCCTGTGGCTCTCACAGTTCAAGGTAAGCACTAGAGGCAGTGTCATCATGGTGGAGGCAGGTGGAGAAAGACAGAGGAACTAAAAATGTCTTTCACTGGAGATGGCAAGATCACCGAAGGCCTAAGCAGTAGGTTGCTGGCAGATGCCCCAGTTGGCCTTCAGTAGGAGCAGCATCTTAGCATTGCCTTTTCAAGTCCTTCAGCTTGACTCCAAGTTCAGCATCTTTCCTACTGCTCTGTCCTACAGTTCTGTGCTTCCCGACATTCACTGACTGGATATCTGGATTACTGCCAGATTTGCCCATCTCTAGATCTTCTCTAGTCCTGTCTATTGAAGAGAGAGACAGCTTGAAAGGTTCAAGTGGAACTTCTCTAAGAGAAGTCCTTCCCAATCTAGAAAGAGAGGAAGGAAGGTGGGACTGGGGTTCTTTGCTTGCTGGGGGCTCACCTGAATGTAGGATGGCTGAGCTGCTCTTTCTCACCTCTCTCTCCCCCAGAACTGTTTCGAGCCCCAGTTCTCAGAGTCACACCCTCAGCTGAGCCCCAAGAGGGGAAGCCAGTGACCCTGAGCTGTCAGACAAAGCTGCCCCTGCAGAGGTCAGCTGCCCGCCTCCTCTTCTCCTTCTACAAGGACGGCAGGACAGTGCGAAGCAGGGGCCCCTCTTCCGAATTCCAGATCCCCACCGCGTCAGAGGCACACTCTGGGTCCTACTGGTGTGAAGCAGCCACTGAGGACAATCAAGTTTGGAAACAGAGCCCCAAGCTGGAGATCAGGGTGCAGGGTGAGTGTGTGTGTGTGTGATGCATGTGAAAAAGCAGGAAGGAAGGGGATAAGACAGTTGGGCCCATGAGCTAGGGTTTGGTGTAAGCAGGTTAAGAAAGGACACACAAGAGGCAAGAACAATAAGCCAGAGTCCCTGGTGGTGGAAAAAAGCACAGATAGGGAACTTCTCCCTCAGACCGTGGTGTGCACCTCACCAAACCAAGACCTTAGCCAGCTCCACAGCTACTGCCCCGTAGACTTGACACTCCCTTCATGAGCTCTGGGCATTTGTAGGAACAGAGTTTCTAGAGTGAGGATGAAGTAGGCTGGAGGTTATATTCAATTCTAGGAATCTCCATTAAGAAGGCTGCATTTGACCTGAAATATACCCACAGGAGGTGTCCAGGGTAAGGAGGACGCTCAAGTCATGTCATAAGGAAAATAATGGAAGGGATGGGAGATGCTCGTCTTGAAGAGGAAGTGACTCATGGGGGCTGCAGAGGTGTCCTCAAAACACTGAAGCCTGGCACAGGATAAGGAACTACACTAATGTCATGTACATTAGTGTAGAAAGGCATGGCAATGCACTCCAGGATTCTTGCCTGGAGAATCCCACGGACAGAGGAGCCTGGCGGGCCACAGTCCACGGGGTCGCAAAGAGTCAGACACAACTGAAGAGACTTAGCATGCATGCATGTACAATAAGACGTTGACCTAGGACCAGTTACCTGTTGTACAACATGTCTATTGTAAGAAATTCAATTAAAACAGGAGGAACTGGCTAATATCCATAGTCTTTTTTTTATAATATCCATAGTCTTCCCTGTGGAAGATTTTTAAGCAGAAGAAATTCAGACTTCTTTAGATTGGAATTTGGACAAAAGTCCTCAAATTTTTGCCGCCATTGGGCTCCAAAGCTACTTTCAGAGAGTAAGAAAAATTGGCCAGGAGCACGAGGGTAGGACGACAGTCGGACTTCACTCTTGTCTGTGTCTCCTGCCCCCTAATCCAGGTCCCTCCAGTTCCGCTGCACCCACTCTCTTGACTCCAGCTCCTCAGAAACCAGATGCTCCAGAAACTACTTCTACAAAGCCCCCTGGGCCACTGCCTCCATTTCCCACCCCTTCTTCTAAGGATGCAGACTCCTTTTCCCCTCCGCAAGGCCCAGACCCTCATCTGTATCACCAGATGGGTGTTCTCCTCAAGCAGATACAGGATATGAGAGTTCTCCTTGGTCACCTGGTCATGGAGCTGAGGGGCTTGTCTAGCCATCTGAAGCTTGAGACCGCAAAGGGTCCTGCCACGCATGAATAAATAATTCACCTGCCGTATTGCTTGACTACCCCCAATAAATCCAGTTTTTCTTCTAGTTTTCATCTTTCTGTTCTATACTTATGCATAAATAGTTTTTACAAGTTGCCCAGTGTTTTGTTAGAGCAGCAGAGATAGGTGAGTATAAGTAAATTTGTACCAAGTTATACCTGGAGTTTAACTATAATTGTGTATTCTCTCTTAACATGAAGACATATCCTGCTTGACCTAGAGAGTTGCCTTCTATGGCCCAGACCAGAATCTGGTGAATGAAAGAGAAGCAATGAGATAGATTAAATGCAGCAGTCTCAACCAAGGGCAATCTCTCTCCATCCTAGGGGACACTTGGCAATGTCTGGAGACAGTTTTGGTTGTCACATTGGGGGGGGGGTGCTGCTGGTGTCTAGGGATGTTATTAAACATAAAATAATACACACAACAGCCTTCCACAACAAAGGATTATCTGGTCCAAAATGGCAATAGTGCTGAGGTTAGGGAACCTCAGCTTCACATAGGTGTTGGACTCTGAGATGAACTTTTGCTTCTTTTACTTAATTCTCTCCTGCTGGCCTTAATTCAGCAAATATTAATTATATGTTGGTATTTTCTCGCCTCTGCTACATACCCAAATTGATGCTATGTTAAATATACCTATAAAACAGTGTTTCTGTCTATAGAGGGTTTATAATTTGAGATAGGAGGGACAGTGATACTCCTACCCATTAAGCAATTAAAGCAGGTCATATACAAATTCCCCACAGGATCCTACTGAAATCATGCTTGATTACAGAAATATGTGATAGAGCATAACACTGCCAGGCTTCCCAGGTGGCTCAGTGGTAAAGAACCTGCCTGCCAATGCAGGAGACTTGAGTTCGATCCCTGGGTCAAGAAGATCCCCTGGAGAAGGAAATGGTAACTCACTCCACTATTCTTGCCTGGGAAATCCCATGGACAGAGGAGCCTGAAGCATTACAGTCCACGGCTCCCAAAGAGTCAAACATGACTGAGTGACTAGACAATAACAATAGCATTGACAGAATAGCGATTATTTGTTTTAATTCATCTCTGAAATATTTTTCTTTAAAAATGTGCATAAATTGATTTTGGTACCATAATAGTACTTTTTTCTATGCTTGGACTGATACTGTGCCTTCTCAGCCAGTGAGAGCTAGCCTGGCATACTCTACAGTAACCTTTGGTCAATGAGTTAGCACTTCATCTTATGACCTCATCCAGTGAGTACTCTCCCATGTTATCTTAAACCACGTTGTGTGAGGTTATTCAGTGGATGGTTTTCTTCTGCTATTTATTCTGTGTGCAGTTTGGACCCACACTGATTTACAAAGATGTGTATTTGATTGTTCCAGAAATGCCAAAAAGAAACAAAGGAATAGCATCACGTTGAATGTTAAAATTCAAGTTTTCTGGTGGTTCCTGTGTTGTGCTTAGTCGCTCAGTCGTGTCTGATTCTTTGTGACCCCATGGACTGTAGCCTGCCAGGCTCCTCTGTCCATGGAGATTCTCCAGACAAGAGTACTGGAGTGGGTTGCCATGCCCTCCTCCCTGGTGGTTCCTAGCTCCCTCTGAAATGCCAGTTTTATGGTGATTCCTATCATCTACAAGGGGAAAGATCAAGAAGCAAATGAAAATTGGTAAAAGTCCACAAATATCACTGTAGCATGAGGGGATGGATTAACAAGCGTATAAGTGGGAGCTGCGAGAAATGATGACCAGGAATATGTCATTTGGTAGATGACCAAAGTGGAAACTCAGGTGCCAATGGACCACGTTGGATGTACCTTCAAAGGTTCTATGTTATAGCCATTCTACATGGAATTGGTTTCAACTAGTGGTACCACATTCATAAATGCATCCTGCAAGCCTGCACTAAATAAGGGAGTCATGTACAGATAATAAAAACTCTCAGAGAAAAAATAAGGAAGAAATGGGTGTAGCTGGCTAAGTGTCTCTCTTCTATACTCCTCATCCATGTGTCTATGTGGACCTTTATCATCACACTGCATTTTAATTTTTTTACTATCTTATTTCTAGTCACTAAAATGTGAGCTCTTTGAGGACTTCTTGAGCTCTCTGTTCCACATTGACTCGTTGGTGTCTAGTTTAACGAGGCATATTTAAACTCTCAGTGAATTTTGAATCATTGAACTGAATTGGGTCAGCATAATAAGGGAAGCATTGTGAAGAAGATGGGAATTAAGCTATACCTTAAAGGATGATTAGGACATCTAGTATCAGCAAAATGTCCAGGTTCTCCCCTGGAGGACCCAGATTAGGTCAAGAACTGGATGCCTGAGGGAGAGAAACTGCTATCATCAGGGATAAGAAAGGCAAAACAGAAATGAAGGAATGAGAAGGAGAGAGCTTTTACTTGTCCTCGTCTGTCTGTCCAGCCTGGGGAAACTGGAGAAAGGCTGGCAAAGAGGAATTGTTATACTAGATTGGGTTTATGGCCTGTGCAGTGTAGGATTCTGTAACCCAAAGAAGCCTTAATGCAGCTGCACCGGATGTTATCTCTGAAATAAACGTTAGACAAGCACACCTGTTGTCTTGTAAAGCTGAATACTTATACACTCTATAACCCAGAATTTCATGCCTGAGTATATATACTGATTAGCATATATACGTGTATACCAGAAGCTATGTACAATAGTGTTCATAATAGCACTATTTGTAAAATCAGAATTTTGAATTCAATTCAGTTGCCCAACATAAAAAATGGATAAGTTGTGCTGTCTTCACAGAACAGAATACTATACAACAGAATAAATGAACCATAGCTACAATGCAGCAGCATAAAAGAAGATCAGGAATATTAATATTCAGTGGAAAAAAACAAGTCCCAGAAGATACCATATGGTGTGATGTCCTTTATACAAAGGAATATTTGTTTAGCCTTTCATTCACACATATGATAAAGCTTTTTTAAAAGGCACAAAAATGGAAACACCATGGTCAGGATAGTAGTTACCTCTGAGGAGCTAATGGGAGACCACTGGGAAGGACCACATAGGTAAATATAAATTATTACTTAAAAAATCTTCTTGGAGTAGGAATTTAGAAACATATACATATATATTTCTCTAAATCATCTTCAGATTCCTTTATGTTATCTGCTTTTGTCTTTTCTTACAGGTAATAAGAAGCCGAGTTTATTACCTACAGTGTGAAGTAGTTCTTTATCGATCCCCAAGTAATCTCAACTTGCTAAAGACTGCCCCTGGTATACTGTTAGAATTGCTGGATTTGGTAAATCTTTTTTTCTTGACCTTAAAGACATGACTATAGCTGTTTCACACATTTTCCCAGCCAGACAAGACAGCGAATTTTTGTCAGTACCAAAGCACCTTCATTTAATGTGGTATTTATGTGTAAAGTATTGTGCAAGGTGCTATAAGAAAAAAAAAAAAAGATAAATTTAACATGAACTCTGCTTTCAAAGCAGAATTCAGTGGAAGTTTATGGAGAAAATCTGGCCTCATATAGATTTGTAGTTGCATTTTAAGAGACTTTTTTGTATAATTGTAGATATTCTTCTTTGATGCTACATGAAAACTCAACAAGGATAGTTTCTTAAACATTGAGTTGCATTATGGAATCTGAAGCCATATCAACATGCATTTCTTTCTTTTTGTGGCTGCGGTGGGTCTTTGTTGCTGCATTAGGACTTTCTCCAGTTGTGGCGAGTGGGGCTACTCTCTAGTTGTGGTGTATGGGCTTCTCCTTGCAGTCGCTTCTCTGTTGCAGAGCACCAACTCTGGGACGTGCAGGCTTTGGGAGCTGTGGTGCATGGGCTTAGTTGCCTTGTGGCATATGGGATTTTCCTGGACCAGGGATCGAACCCTTGTCCACTACCTTGGCAGATGAATTCTTAACCATTGACCACTAGGGAAGCCCTCAACAAGCATTTCTTACTCTGCTACAGTAAAATTCATTGGTCCTTTTTGTGCTTTAAATAGATCTTTCATTCATGTGTTGGCAGTTGAAAATATTTGTTCACAAAGTTATAGAGATCTTTTAAATGTTGATAGCATCTCATTGTATACAATATTTTAAAAATCAGATTCAGTATCAACAGAAAAGTCTTTAGTTACTGGGAAACTGTGAAGCTCATGATAACAAATACAAGTTTCTCTAAAGCTCTAATTTTCATTTGAAATCTGGAATTTCACCATTGGCAATAATCACTGTCAGATGTTTTCATTGAAGTGACAGTCTCACTTTGTTCACTTTTAAGAAAATGTCTGAGAAATACCCATGTCTGAATGACCATAGTTTTTCAGTCTTTTTTTTTTAATTAAAAATGGTATTCCAAGAAAAAGGGTAGCTGGCTCAACTCAGAACTCAGTTGTGTAAGAGCTTTCCCTGAAGAGAGTCATTGTATCTCAGTATGGAACAGAAGTGCATACTTCCTATTTCAGCACACAAAATATTTAAAAGATGTATACTTTGAGCTGAAAATGTAACCAAATTAATCTTTAAATGACTTCCTCAAGGTTTTGTTCTCTTTTCTTACTGTGATTGCATAACATAATGGTGAAAAATACAGTTTGGTCCCCCTGCCTTCAACTATGCTTCAGATCTAGCAGTTTTATCCCCCACTGCTTTGCACCATCTGTGCAAGTGTGACCTAATAAAAAAGGCAAGAAACGCCTTAGTAGGGGGTGAAGCTAGTGGGAAAGAACCCACCTGCCAATGCAGGAGATGTAAGGGATGTGGATTCAATCCCTGGGTTGGGAAGATCCCCTGGAGGAGGAAATGGCAACCCACTCCTGTATTCTTGCCTGGAAAATCCCATGGACAGAGGAGCCTGGTGGGCTATAGTCCATGGGGTCACAAAGAATCGGACATGGATGAAGTGACTCAGCACACAAACGTAATTTTGACTTTGCAGATCCCTTAAAGGGTCGCTGGAACCCCCAGGTATCTCTAGACCAAACTGAGAATTACTGAACTAGATCATTCTGAAGGCCCAGTCTGACATTACCCTCAGAAATCTCAATACTTACGCATTTCCGAAGAGAAGAACCCATTTATTTTTCGATTCCTTAGTCAGTTCTCTAGGTAAAATAAATAATTTTGACCTCAACCTCAGCTCAGTCATTTTAATGCTTTTAACTGGACACTTTCTTTAAGAGTCTAAGTTGGTTATACTACATGTTTCTTTTTTCCTCTGTTCATCTGTGGGAAGACACAACACCTGCACAGCGATGAAAATAATCAAGAGTGAAAAGGCAACCTATGAAGTGGAAGGAAATATTTGCAAACCCTATAGCTGATAAGGGATTAATATCCAAAATATATAAGAAGCACGAACAACTTAGTAGCAAAACCCCAAATAACTTGATTAAAAAATGGATGAAGAATCTGAATAGGCATTTCTCAAAAGAAGATGTACAGATGGCCAATAGGTATATTAAAAGGTGCTCAATGTCACTAATTATCAGGAAAATGCAAATTAAAACCACAGTGAGTTACCGCCTCACACCTATAGGAAAGACTATTATCAAAAAGATAGAAGATAACAGGTATTGCAAGGCTGTGGAGGAAAGGGAACTCTTGTGCACTACTGCGGGGAATGTAAATTGGTGCAGCCACTATGGCAAAAGTTATGGAGGTTCCTCAACATTTAAAAATAGAACTGCCTAATGAACAAGAATCCCACTTATGTGTATTAGTCAGCTAAGTCCTGTCTGACTCTTTGCCACCCCATGAACTGTAGCATGCCAGGCTCCTCTGTCCATAGAACTCTCCAAGCAAGAACACTGGAGTGGGTTGCCATTTCCTTCTCCAGGGGTTCTTCCTGACCCAGGGATGGAAACCTAGTCTCCAGCATTGCAAATAGTGGGTAGTTGGCCATTTTTTTAATGGGGGAGGGGGTGGCAGTTGAGCAGTAACTTGGTGACATGGCATCAAATCACTAGTTTCCTGGGGACCTGCATGCAAAGCAGCAGGAAGTGCAAGTGTAAAGGTTCTGGGGTACGTGTGTGCTGGGCACGGGAAGAAACGGGTCAGACTTAATCCCGGATGCACCGTGAGGCCTCCTGGATGTACTCAGAAAGCAAAAGGGACACCAGGGGTTCTGAGCATGACCGGCCGAGGCCTGAAGGGGCCCCAGAAGTGTCTGCGAGCTGGGGGTAGGGCGCGAGCTCACCGCGGGGCCGGGGTAGGGGCTGGCTTCTCAGTTCTCCCTCCAGGACACTTTGAGGCTGTGCACAAATTTGGGATAGCAGGGTTGCGAGGTGTTGAACCTGGAGAAGCCCAGGATGTTGGAGGAGTCCACCACCCCATCCAGGTGCAGAATGGGGAAGTCCCTGGTGGCGAGGATGTACTTGTAAAACGCGGAGGTCATTCCCAGCCCCGAGGCAGTACTGCGGACGAGGTGGGAGACTGCGAACGAGGTGGGAGACGGCTGCGTTGGTGTCCATGAGGATGGTGGACACTTTGGTCATTGTGGAGCTCCTTGAGCAGCGGGGTGGGGTCCCAGCTGTCGTCCAGCATCGTCACAGACAGAGTCTCCTTGGAGATGAGGAAGCCACGCACCGGTTCCTCCAATCGCAGCAGGCGCTCGGCCTTAGCGCAGATGAGGCTGGATGAAGGGTAGTTGAAAAACTTGGGGATCCGGGAGATGGCCAGGCTGGTGTCCTTGTTATTGGGGTACAGGCTGACAGACGCAAAGCGGAGGTACCGAAGGTGGGGCGTCTCCTCGGGACCCACCTTGATGTGGGGGATCTCCTTCTCTCCACAGATTTGGCTCACTGTGGAGGCAGAAGTGGGGCTGGAAGGGGGTCCCAGGACAGACACGCCCCCCTTGGGCAGGATCTGACACATGGTGTCCGTGGTCCTTTATTGGCTGTCCTGCTGCAGCTCAAAGATGCCTACTTCCACACGGGCCTTGGCTGGGACTTCAGTGATCCCATTGATCTGCTCCCGGGCCAGGGTCAGGGCCAGACGTTCACTGTGGCCCCACACAGTCTGGTCGTCCAGGATGGCCGTGCGCGGTGATGAAAGCACCTGGCAGGTGGGGCTGGCCAAGGCAACAGCCAGCAGCAGCACCAGTAGCTCAGCAGGAATCTCCCTCCCCTCCTCCTGGGGACACAGCTGCTGTGGCCCCCACTCACCAGGCATCCTGGTGGGATGGAGGGCTGGGCTTCCTCAAGGCCTGAGGATCAACAAGGCGGAGATGCTCTGGAGCTGGGTGGCCGGGGCGGGGGGGGGCTGGGGCCTGGGTGAAGGCAGTCCACAGGGCCCCCTCCTCTGCCTCCCGCGGTGGTCCCCAGCTAATCAAAAACAGGGGGCTCCCAGGGAGCAGGGAGGAAGGAGACGTGGAAGAGGAGAAGAAAGGCCAGGAAGTGGAGGAACAGGAAAGGAGAAAATGGAGGAGGGAAGGACCAAATGGAGGGGAAGGAGGGAGGGATATATACATCCCTAAGTGAAAAGGGAATCAGTATCTCAAGAGATATCTGCATTTCCATGTTCACTGTAGCATTATTCACAATAGCCAAAGTATGAAAATAACCTAAATGTCAACAACTGAATGGATAATTAAAATGTATCTAAGATATGTTGTATGTACTATATATATATGTAATGGAATATTATTCAGCCTTAAGAAAAGAAACTCTTGCCATTCACAATATGGATGAACTTGGAAAGCACTGTGCCAAGTGAAATAAGCCAGACAAGAGGGACAAATATTGCATGATCTCATTTATATGTGAAGAAGATCCCCTGAAGGAGGACAAGGCAACCCATTCCAAAATTCTCCCCTGGAGAATCCCCACGGACAGAGGAGCCTGGAGGGCTGCAGTCCATAGGGTTGCAAAGAGTCAGACATGACTGAGTGACTTTGCATGCATGCCTGCATTTTTGTGTGGAATCTGATAGAGCCAAACTTGTAGAAGCAAAGAGTAGAATGGTGGTTTTCAAAGGCTCAGGAAGAGAGAAGAGAAAGTGAGTAGGAGGAATTGGCTCACGAGATTATGGAGGCTGAAAAGTCCCATGATCTGCCTGCCATCTGCAAACTGGAGGCCTAGGAAAGGGAAATTGAGCCTGAATCCCAAGGCCGGAGAACCAGGGGAATTGATGATGTAAATTCCAGTTCAAGGGCCAGAGAAGATGAGGTGAGATGTCTCAGCACAATCACTGAGGCAGGAAAAAAGGTGGGGGGGGGGGGTTGCCAAATTCCTCTTAACTCTGGCTTTTATTCTAAAAGAGAAATATCTAAAACACAATAGCATATATGTAAATTAATAATACTAAACATTTCTCAAATGTAAATATATGCATGTATGAAGGATTAGAAAGTAAAGTTTGCACAGTGGGTGTTCATGTGGAGCAGAGGAAAATGGAAGTATGAATGAAAAGTGAAAAATGAAGTCACTCAATTGTCTCCAATTCTTTGCAACCCCATGGACTGTAGCCTGCCAGGCTCCTCTATTCACGGAATTCTCCAGGCAAGAATACTGCAGTGTGTAGCCATTCCGTTCTCCAGGTGATTATCAAAGAACTAATGCTTTCTAATTGTGGTGTTGGAGGATTCTTGAGAGTCCCTTGACAGCAAGGAGATCAAACAAGTCAATCCTAAAGGAAAGCCTGAATATTCATTGGTAGGACTGATGCTGAAGCTGAAGCCCCAATACTTTGGCCACCTAATTCAAAGAGCTGACTCAGTGGAAAAGACCCTGAGGCTGGGAAAGATTGAGGGCAAGAGGAGAAGGGGGCGGCAGAGGATGAAATGGTTAGATAGCATCACTGACTCAATGGACATGAGTTTGAGCAAACTCCAGGAGACAGTGAAGGACAAGGAAGTCTGGCATGCTGCAGTTCTTGGGGTCACAAACAGCTGGACATGACTTAGAGACTGTACAACAACAACCATAGTGTGAAGCCACTCCCCTTGAGGGGTCAAACCCAAGTCTCCTGCATTGCAGGTAGATTCTTTACCATCTGAGCTACCAGGGAAGCCCCAGTGTGAATAAAGATGAAAAATAAAATGAGAGAGGAGACTTGAAAAGACTAATGATGACGGTCTGCCATGAGCATGAGAAAACAGATTTTAGAGTTGAGACAGATTTCTATTCAAATTCCAGTCCTATCACCACAGGAAACATATGTAAAATGGAGATAATAATTCTTCCTTAAAGTGCCCTTGCAGGAATTAAAGTAATATGGTCTTCCCTGATGGTCCACGGCTAAGACTCCGAGCTCCCAATGCAAGGGGCCTGGTTTGATCCCTGGTCAGGGAACTGGATCCCACAGGCTGCAGCTAAGACTTGGCACAGCCAAATAAATAAAAATAATATCTGTGAGGCATACGGTGTTGTGCCTGCTACATGCTCAGGGCTGTAGCACCCATTGAAAGTAAACTGTGTCCTCATCGATAGCAACAGCAGCAGCATTCCATTGTCATCACTGAAAGCATCTTATTTCTCAGAATTCTTAGCAGATAATGGTATATCTTGTCAAGAAATGATGTCGTGATAGGCTTCACAGAATTGCTCAGGTAACAAATGACCATTGCTAATTTTCTCTGCACAGTAAAGGTGTGAATAATTAGAAATTCTTCAGGAAAAAGTCCTGGATGGAGAAAAAGATCCAATTTAGGAAAGTGCAAAAGAAAGCCTGGAATGAAGAAATGCTGGGTGGGAGATTCTTCAAGCCAAAATTTGAGTGCTATATAATATGAACCCTATGGGTGATTCTAGAGATTTTCAGGGAAGATTGTACACCTCATGAATTTTGAGTGTAATCAAGTTTTTTGTGGAATCTGGGGGAAGAGGCTGAGATCTGTATTCTGAGTGATAGGAAGCAAAAATACAGTCAACTTGGATAGACTAAGGGAAGAGCTGAGGTGTGCATCACATTCTTATCATAAAGGTGGTGGCCTGGTACAGAGGTCAGACCTTGAAGGAGACTGTGGATGATGTGGGGAGGCTCACGCTGACGCCGGATGAGGCATCAGGCATGTCAGGAGAAGATGGGAACATTGCCTAGCCTGGGCCCTCCTAAAGCAGGCAGTTTATAGTCTCTGTTCCTGGTATCTAGTTCTCTCCTTCCCCTACTCCGGAACACCTTATCAATTACCTCCCTGGTTTTCAGACCCATATAACTCTATCTCTCTTCTTTCAAAACATGCTCTCCAAACAGGATCTGAAGTGACCAGCTTAATTTAAAGGATCAATCACATTTCCCTAAGGGGCATCTGCATTTTTAACAAAGGCTAGCACATTAAGAGAAACTACGAGGAAATTCTCAGAGTGAAACTTTGGGCATCAGCAAGGAAGGGGGGAAAAGACTGTCTTAAAGAGAATTGACAGGGTTTGATCATCTATCTCCTTCCTGCCAGAGTTCCAAAGGAAGGAGGTACCCCGGTATTAAACAGCCACAGATGAGGACCGAACACTGTCCAAGGAGACATACTATCAGGTTGGAAAATTCATTAAGTATTTACAGGGAATTCAGGTTCCCCACTGCTCAGGGTATGATCACACGGCTTGAAAAGCACAAGAAGTAGAGGCAAGAAGTCAGATCTGAGAAGCTTCCGAGGGGTTGATGTAGTGGCTTCTCTAACACAGGTAAGGATTATTAGAACTGGGGATGGCTGGGGACAGAGAGAAGGAGGGAAAGCCAAGTGAGTGGAGATGCTATGGAGGAGATCACTGGGATAGGTGGGAAAGAAGGCTTTTCTAATTTCTGAGGTTTAAGGTTCCAGGAGAGGAGATAGAAAGAGGAAACACATAATCTTTTCTCCTCTTGACTGTGACACTGTAAGGCAGTGACGCAGAAGGTGGTTGATGAATCATGCTCTTCTGTCTGCTCACCCAGAAGGACGTGACTTCCGGGTAAACAGAACCCAACGTCCATCTCACTTCACACCAGTGCCTATCACTGGGAAGGGAGCAGAATAATCCAGGGTGGATCTGTTTTTTTAAAAATATTTTTATTTATTTATTTGGCTGCACTGGGTCTTCACTGGGGGCACAAGTGATCTTTAGTTGCAGCAAAATGAAGTGAAAGTGTTAGTCGCTCCGTCATGTCCAACTTGTGACCCCATGGAATTCTCCAGGCAAGAATATTGGAGTGGGAAGCCATTTCCTTCTCCAGGGGATCTTCCCCATCCAGAGATCGAACCCAGGTCTCCCACATTGCAGGCAGATTCTTTACCATCTAAGCCACTTAAGTTGCAGTAGGCAGGATCTAATTCCCCAACCAAGGATCGAATCCAGGCCACCTGCTTTGGGAGTATGGAGTTTTCGCCACTGGACTACCAGGGAAGTCCCTCTCCTGTGTGTATCTTGAGGACATGAAGATGTCTTTCTCATTTGAGGCTTATGGGACCTTCCTGGGTAGGAAGGGAGTGGGAGGGAGTGGGATGTTGCTGGGAGCCTGAAGGTGGCAGGGTCACCTGCCAGAGCCTGGGGTTCTATGCGGCTTTCTTGGGCTGCAAAGGGAACAAAGGCCTTAGCTACAGGAGCCGGGGCTGGCCTGAGATGTGAGGCAGTTTAGGCGCAGTAGGTGGGACAGTGTCTGGTACTTGGGACATCTGAGAGTTGACACATGTCCAGCCTGTCTCCTGCTCCCTCCAGTCCACCATGTTCAGAAACTAGGAATGACTGGGAGAAGTAGCAGTGCTCCCAGGACTCAGGGGTCAGCACTGGTCACCTTGTCTCTCTGCTGCTTCTCCCATCCTGCGTCAGCGTGTCTCCACTGCCCTGCAGCTGCTGCTGGCAGATCCACCATGTGGGAACTAACAGTCCTGCTGCTCCTGGGTGAGTCCTCAATGAGGCAACACCGGCCTAAGGACTTTAGGTGTGGGGAAGAGTGGGAGTCAGGGTGTATATGTGTGTTGGGGGGATATTCAAGCCTCACTTTGTTATCTATTTTTGGAGAGGAAAAGAGGAAAGGGGCTTTCTCAGAGTTGAGGGAATTAAAGGCAGAAGAAAAACAGGTCTTGGGATTTGTTGAATCTTTCCTATGGTCAAGAGAGCCTCCTTTCTTTCCTTTCATCTCCAACATTCTCCTTCTTTCTTTCTTTCTTATTTTGTAGTTCCAAGCAGTGGGCAAGCTGGTGAGTCTTACACATCCCTCATCCCAATTTTCTGTGACTTCTACTCCAACCATCCGAAGTGACCTGCCTGGGTACTCCCCACTTCTTAGCTGTTCCAGGGTAGTGTCTCTTCTCACAGCCTCTCAATCCCTATGACTCAGTTTACCTGCAGGCCTAGCACTTAGACATGGGTGCTCACCAAGGGACAGGTGGATAGCCCAGTGTGGTCTCTCCTCTTCCAGGGATGGACTAGTAACCTGGGTCCTGAAAACTGGCATTTTCTGATATTTCCCAACCTTAGATCACATCCTTGGGCACCTCACCTTGATTCTCTTTTTCACATTGCTGCCTCCCATACCGTCTCCCCCAGCTACTGTAGAGAAGCCCATATTGTCTCTACACCCACCCTGGACCACAATCTTCAAGGGGGAAAAGGTAACCTTGCGGTGTGATGGGTACCACCCGCTGCTCCTGGAGCTTCGACCCATCAGCACTCTCTGGTATTTGGGCCACCTACTCCTGCCTTCTTATAAGAAGAGCATCGAGGTGCACACGCCAGGAGTGTATAGATGCCAGACACGTGGAGCACCCGTCAGTGACCCCATCCACCTCTCTGTATCTAATGGTGAGTGTCTGAACACTGGAGGGGCAGCACACACGTTCTCTGGCAAGGCTGCCCCTCCTGTGGGAGAGGATACTGGGCCACTCTCATTGGGGTAGGAAGAGAGGGGTATATTGAGTCTGCCTGGCACTATGTAAGAGATGCAGTAAGGCTTGCATGGCCTCAAAGGTCCCTTTACCATCCCGCCACAGTGGACAGTAAATAAACATTTCTGTTCATTTATTAGCTCACAAGAGAAGAGATTCTAAGGACCTGGGATACTGAATACTTTTGGGGAAGAGGATTGGGCAGGAAGGGAAAGGGCAGAGCAAAGCAGGAAAAGTGAGGTTCCCTGGACAGGCTGCCTGCAACTGGGGGATTACTCTTGCTTGAACAGAATGATGCTTCCTTGTGCCTCCCATTACTAAAATAGGGACAATAATAGTATCCATCTGTTCGGTTATTGTGAAGATTAAAAATGAATTATGAGAGGCTGTCAAAGAAAAAAGCAGATGAACAAAGCACTTCATCCAAATTTTATTACACACACACACACACACACACACACACACATCAATTAAGAAACTAATTTCCTGGGAAGACATAAAGACTTTCCAAACAGAATAAGAGAAGTAACAGTAATTTGTTCATTAGGGCACAGGATTGGCTACTTTGTAGGGAATATTTTGTCATTTTAGCCTGGTAGGCTATATTTTGTATTCAGAATTTAAAAGGTTATCACTCAATGTTCAGATGAGCATTCACACTTCATAGCCATTTGTTGCTCAGTCTCTAAGTCACGTCAGACTATTTGCAACCCCATGGGACTGCAGCATGCCAGGCTTCCCTGTCCTTCGCTATCTCCCAGAGTTTGCTCAAACTCATGTCCATTGAGTCAGTAGTGCTATCTAACTGTCTCATCCTCTGCCGCCTGCTTCTCCTCTTGTCCTTAATCTTTCCCAGCATCAAGGTCTTTTCCAATGAGACAGCTCTTCGAATTAGGTGGCCAAAGTATTGGAGCTTCAACTTCAGCAGCAGTCTTCCCAATGAATATTCTTTTAGGATCGACTGGTTTTAGCTCCTTGGAGTCCTAGGGACTCTCAAGAGTCTTCTGCAACACAATTCAAAAGCATCAATTCTTCCGCGCTCAGCCTTCTTTATGGTCCAACTGTCATCCACACTTCATGGTTTCTTGTTTGGAAACTGATAGCAAGTACAGATAAGATACTGAATATGATAGTAGTTGCTGCTTGCAGAACTGAGAGTACCATAGAGATTGTGGCTATTACTTGCATAAATTTTGCTCCATGTAAAACACCTAAAGTGGCATTTAGCAGACACTAGGGCTGTGTAAATGTTAGCTATCATAATGATCAGGTAAATAAGTGTACTGCAGAAGGTGCCTAAGGCTGTCCTTGGAGGTGGAAGGCCCTCAGGTATTTCCTGGAAGAGATAAGATCTAAGTTCAGGCCTGCAGGATAAGCAGGCCTCAACTAAAGTAGGTGAAGAGGTCTTTTTGGCCTATAGTAAGGCTCTGGGCTTAGAGCAGTGCCAGCTGGCCCAGCAGTACAGTATGGATGGACTTATCCTGCATTGTAAGGTGGAAAAGGAAAAGGAGACAGGTGGCAGGGGAGAATCCTGAGATGGTGCTGAAAAGGTAAGCAGTGGCCAGGTCAGGAAGGCCCTGATGCCATCTTAAGGCGTTTAGACTAGATTCTGACGGACACTACTCTTTGAGGCTGGAACCAAGTCTCAGGCATCAATACCTAAGGTTGGCCTTCCCCTTCCCTTGCCACTCACAATCTGAGGCTTCTGGGGTGTCCAGTAAGGGAGAAGGGAATTGGTGGGGGTGAAGGGGAAGGAAGACGGGAGCAGGGAGGTGGAGAAGAATGGGTCACCCCAAGGGCTGGACTTTCTCTTGCAATCAGGCTGTTTGTGCTGACTGTCGTAGACTGGCTGATCCTGCAAGTGCCCTATGCTGCCGTGTTCGAGGGCGAGCCGCTGGTTTTGCGCTGTCGCGGTTGGTACGACAAGATCGTCTACAAACTTCACTACTACCACGACGGCCAACCCGTGCGCTACTTCCACTCCAGCGCCAACTACACGGTGCTCCAGGCTCGCGCCAGCGACAGCGGGCGCTACCAGTGCTCCGGTACCATGCGCGTTCCCGTGGAAAGCGCGCCCATGTTCTCCGCCAAAGTGGCCGTGACCGTGCAAGGTGGGGGAGACGGGGCCGGATAGGGAGATAAGCCAGCTCTGGGAAATTCTGGGAGGGAAACCCGGCAGGGAAAGGAACGGGCGGAGGTTACAGTAGCTGGGATTTCTCTGCGGGACCACGAGCACGTTCTCCTCTCCTTGGTGTGAAGTCGCACTTATCTGTAAGCCTGGGTGGGGGCAGGGGTCCCGGCTTCTTTCTCTGGGTAGGAACCCATGTAGGGGACAGCTGTCTCCGCAGCCCCAGCCAGAATGAGAGTGGCAGTAAATGGGATCACGGTGGGACTGGGGCGAGGGAACTGCTCCCAGGCGTCCTGAGATCCCGTCTAGGCTGGAGGACCCAAGCTGGATGTCAGTCGGGAAGTGACTCGAGGCGTCTGATCTGGCGCCGCCTCCATTCAAGCTTCCCCCTTCCCTCGTGGACTCGTCTCCCACATTTCAAAAGACTCTCCTCCCTTCACGTGTACACACAACCTCCTCCCTGGTGGGTCAGAGGCCCTCGTGGGAAACCGGAGCCGGAGAGGGGTAGTGGGACTATACAAGCTGGGTCCGGTTCCCTGGGACCCTTGCACCGTGCCTAAAGGGCATCCTTGATCACTGGGCCCCCGCTTCCGCAGAGCTGTTCCTGGCGCCCGTGCTGAGGGTGATGGGCCGGGTGGAAGCTCGCGGCGCGGCCTTCGGAGGAGTGGTCTTGCGCTGCGAGACGCGCCTGCACCCGCAGAAGCGCGACACGCCGCTGCAGTTCGCCTTCTATAAGTATAGCCGTCCTGTGCGCCGCTACGACTGGGATGCGGAGTACACGGTCCCCGAGCCAGAGGTCGAGGAGCTGGAATCGTACTGGTGCGAGGCGGCTACAACCACCCGCAGCGTCCGGAAACGCAGCCCTTGGCTGCAACTCCCGGGCCGCGGTGAGTGACGGCCCTTCCGGAAGCCAACCCGGCGGGCAGCCCCGTCCGCCCCGCCTCCGCCCACGCCTTCCGGAAATGCCTGTCACTCCCCACCCCCTCTCCTGCCCCGCCCTCCCTCTCCACCGCCTCCCCCACCCCCTGCCTCCCTCACCCCTGCCGCTCTTTTCCATCCTCCTCGCCGTCCTCACTCCCCTCCCCGGCCGGGCTCATTCTTCAGTCCTTTGCCCCTTCTCCCCCCTCCAGGCCATGGGAGAACGGTTTCAGCCGAGCGGTTCTCTGTGTGTTGTGTTCGCAGGTTCTCCCCTGGACTTGGCGTCCACCACCGCCCCGGTCCCCGGTAACCAGCCGCTTTCCTTCAGAAAGCCCCCGGTGTCCAGATCGGTCCCGTCGGTCCCCTCCGTCCCGAATGTCACCTCAGCGGGGCCGCCGTTCCCCGCGGGCGGAGCCCCCACCGCTGGGCCACCGGCCTGTGCGCCACCGACACCCTTGCAACAAACCGCTGGCGCCCTAAAACCCGACGTGGCCCTTCTGCTCCGAGAAATGCAGCTGCTCCAAGGCCTTCTCAGCCGGGTGGTCCTGGAATTAAAGGAGACACAGGCCGTCCCAGGGCACACAGTCGAGACCCCAACTTCCCACTCGGCTGTGAGTCAGGGAACCCCTGAGACCACTACTGTGGAGAGCTGAGGGAGGGGGTGGCTACAGTCCCCTCCAGGCACATCCGCCTCCGGTCTCCCCTGCTCGCGTCACGTGGAGACCTTACTAAGCCGTCTCGGTTTCATCCCTCTGTCTTGCTGTGGTTTATAAAGGGTGGTAGCTGACATGTCAATCTCACCCAGCACATCTGAGCAGTTTGTTACCACAAGGCCTTCCCTCTCATCTCTTCCTTCGCCTCAAAGATTTCAGTAGGGAAGTAGCAGTCTGCTATTTACTGCTTTGAGGTTGACTTTTGGAAGTGAATTTAGTCATCCTTGGTTTTTCATGTAAAGCCACACGACGCATATTTCAGCACAGGCAGTTTTCTGGAACTTAAGGTTATTTTGGTACTAAGCGCTTTGGAACATTTAAGGGTCAGGATGTAATTATTCATCATGAATTTAATGTTAAAATTTAAAAGGTTTTCAGTTCTGTTTCTGATGAGTTTATACCTTCAAAGTCCAATGTTGTAGTTTTAGAGACAGAAAGGGACTTGTGTGGGTCTCCCATTCCAGGTTAAGGGTGAGTGTACAGTTAGAGCCAACCAGATGCACCTCCCAGGGCAGCGTAGCTAGACAGACTCTGATAAGCTCTGGTGGCAGCAGGCAGGCCCTGCTCATTTTAGCCTAAATTAAACAAGTGCATCAAGAAATCTCTTTGAAGAAACTTTAAGACAAATTCTCAAAATTGCTGAATTCTAGTTTTTGACAGTTTCTTACTTCTGTAAGAGCCATTCCAACACAAACACACAGTTCAATCTTTATAAGTTCCTCGTCTGCCTACTAGAACTATGAGATCTCAGCAGAGCTGGTGTGAATTATTTCCAGGAGAATTCTTTCTCATTAGGTCTATACCCTTCATCAGTTAACCTTTACTGTTAAGGCTTAGGACTGATAACAACTCCACCCTCCCACCCTTCTAGTCTATAGGTATTCAGTCACAATGCAATTTCCCTTTCTTTTTGAGTGATTAACCAGTATCACATAAACATCCTTCATCTTTTTCTTCTTCTTACCTTCTTATTTTCTTCAAGTATTATCTTCACCATGTTATTACTACAAAGTCACTGAAATTATATAATAAGAGGGGCAGGTGGGTTCATACATGTATTACAGTGCAATGTGATAAGCGCTTCTGTGAAACACTAGGAATTCAGTGGAGGAAATGAATCTTGAAGGAGAGCAAGATTTCACCAAGTGAAGATGGGAAAATATTGAGGAGTGGGGGATGCAGTCTGAGGATGCAAAAGCAGAGACATGGAAGACCATAGTGTGTTTGTAGAGCTGCAAATAATTGAAAGTGGCTGGAGAATTATATGTGTTTATGTGTGTGTATATGGCAGGGCGGGGTATATTTTAGGCAGAAGATGATGGCACGAGATGAACATGAGGAAGTAGAAAGGGGTCAGAACATGAAACTCTTGTTAAGAGGTTCTTAAACCTGTTGGAAAATTGGGATGGATATGCAGAAGCATTCTTTATCAAGGGTATAAATAAACCTTACTGGAGGAAAAGCTAATTTAAAATTACAAAAGAGCAATCAAATAAACTGGTCTCAATGGACACTTGCTCATAGCCTTGAGAAGGTATGTTCAGGCACTATAATCCAGTATTGGGGTTCTGGTCTTGGTGCCTCTGCTTTCCAGCTTTCTGTGCAGGCTTAGCTCACTTCCTAGAATCTTTTCTTGGCAAGCCTTCCCTGGCTAACCCAACTCCACTTCAGTGGCCTCCATTGTGATTTTGTTCCCCTGATGTTTCTGCTGTCTCTTTATCCAGATAGAGAATGACTAGCATTAGTGTCATGACTAGCATTGATTACCTAATCAAAGAATCTTGTCATTAAAAAAAAAATCAGTTGATATGTATAACTGATTCACTTTGCTGCACAACAGACGCTAACACAACATTGTAAAGCAATTATACTTCAATAATAAGTAATTTTTAAATATCAGTTGATCATTTCTTAAGGGAGTGAAAGAGTGAAATAGCCATTCAAAAGAGTTTTGTCTCTTCAGTATCTCCTCTTTCACAGTTGCAGCCTTCCTGCCACAATATCTTCCTTCCTGCCGCCTACCTCCATTTAGGGCCAGGGATACAGGGGATGGGGAAGAATAAGAACTTATGGGTTAGAATGAAAGTCATTCATGACGAAACTTCTCCACTTATGTTGTGTGGCGAGGGAAGGAGTAAGTTTTATGCCCTTTAGTCTCCATGTCTTAAGCCCCCCGGGTCTCCTTGATCTTCCCCTACAGGACCTATTAATGATCTCCCAGGAAAACCTGCACTAAGGAAATACTGAGGAATGTCAGACAGGCAGCTTACTGGCCATGCTCCTCTGGGGGCCTCTGTGAGTCCTCATCCAGCTTCATCAGGTTCCAACATGCTTTTAGGGAAACAGAAGGCTGGCTAGCCCAGGCTACCCAAGGACAATCTCAAGTTCCTTCTCAAGCAGTAAGGGTAGCACCAGAATGCTGGAGAAACCTGGGGAGGAAGCCACTACTCTCAGGTTCTCTGATCACTTCTATGTCTCAGTCTCAGGCTTTGACCCTAAACCTGTTGAGTGACCCTAAACCAGATATCAGACAAGGAACCCAAAAGTCCTCCATCAGAGAGCAGAAAGGGTCCTGGCAAGTTTCCTTTGGATCTCAGCCTCCCTGTCCCATACTGTCCTCCCTGAGTCTAAGTTTCTCATCTGGACTTGACTCTGTGGAAGGAAGTAACTCAACTCTGGGTCCCACACTTAATGAGTTTTTTCCTAAGAGAGTGAATTAAATCCTCTAGGTTAAAGTCCAAACTCCCTATCATGACAGATAGAGCAGTCACACTGACCACTTGCTCTCTCCCCATGGAGCCTCTTTCATGCCTCTGTGCCTCTGCATATACTTTTGTGTCAACTCTGTTGGTGCGGCATGGGCTGCACAGGCCTTCTGAGTTCAAGCTCTCTCATCTGGAAAAAGAGGGAAATAAGAGTACCCTTAGAGAGAGAAAGACACATCAACAGACTTTTTTCATTACTAAAAGTTTTAAGTCAGGGGATGCTAAGGTGCTTAAAAGCACAGAGGAGGAGTACTAAGCTCAGCATGGAGGCTCACAAGTCACTTTCCAAAGAGATATCTGCCAGACCCTATTGATGAACTATTAGGTTATTTCCAAACTTTTGCTGTTTTAAATTATGCTGCAATTAAGATTCTCACACTTAGGTCTTTAGACACATATTTGAATATATCTGTAGGGCAAACTCCTAGCCTTAAGTAGAATTGCTAAATCAAAGAAAATGAGTGTTTTAAAATTTTAATAGATATTGTCAAATTATGTCTGAGAGAGCTTGTTTCTCTTACCCTGGTCAGGAAAGCATATCACTGTAGTTATATATTTCTTTTAAAAAATTAATTAATATATTTTTGGTTGCACTGAGCCTTCATTACTTCGCGAGGGCTTTCTCTAGTTGCAGCAAGTGGGGGCGGCTACTCTTTAGTTGGGCACCGGCTTCTTGTTGCAGTGGCTTCTCTTGTTGCAGAGCGCAGGCTCTAGTTGCACGGGCTTCAGTAGTTGCAGCTCGTAGGCTCTAGAGCTCAGGCTCTGTAGTTGTGGCTCAAAGGCTGAGTTGCTCTACAGCATGTGGAATCTTATCAGACCAAAGATGAAACCCGTGTCCCTTGCATTGTCAGGTGGATTCTTATTTATTGTACCACCAGGGAAGTCCTATATTTCTTAATGAACCCAGAGAAACTCTTGAGCCTTTGTCTACTGTTGACTTCCCCCAGTTGAATCCTGGTAACATTACTAACCTTGTGTTGTGCAACAGCTCAGCAGTGCAATCCTTTCAGAGTCAATGTCCCTGTTTATAGTTCTAACCCATTCATCGTCTGAATTCTTGTTAGCTGGTCTGCCGTTAACTAAGAAAATGTACTCTTGACTATGTTTCCTTATTAAATGTGGACTTTCTGCCAAGTAGAGCTCTTATTCCAAGCCAGATCATCCTAGTTCTCCACCCAGTTCCCAAGGTGTACTGCAGTTTGCCTGTATTAGTTTAGTTTATTCCCCAGTCACTATACCTGCACTACATCTTCAAAGATAATTGGTTTCAATGCTTGACATTCTAATTATAATAAGAGGCCTCATAACTGTGCATCCCTGATTCAGCTAACATCTGAGACTAAAGAACTGGTACTAAAGGCTCAAGAACTAAAGTCTTTTTCAGTTTAAAGGAGCTGATGTGGGAGATGACTACCATCCCATTTCTTTGCAGTAAATATGCTCTTAATGTAGAATGTTAAGTTGTAGTAGCCAAGCTAATTAACTCTGGATCTAGAGGTGGCAGAGTATGGAGGTTAAGAACCCTGGCCAAGCAGTTAGTAGAGTTGGGTTCAAACATCACTCTTACTACTTACCATCTGGGTCACAAAGAGTAAGACACAACTTAGCGACAACAGCAAGATTTGGGCAAGATATTTTATCTCTGAAGTTGCATTTCCTCATCTGCAAAGCACAATAATAATAGTATCTTCCTTACAGAATTGCTAGAAGGATTCAATGAGGTTATACAAGTAACATACTTGATAGAAGCAGTAAGTGGCTATGATGACTGTAATTCACAGCATCTAAAATGACATTGACTATAGGATGCACCATTGAACAGAACATTAAGGAAGGAAATTGTGGCCAAATAGCCATACAATGTCTTTTAGGCTTAATTACAAATAGAAAATGTTAAAATCGTAATCACACTTGAAAGTGAAAGTGTCAGTTGCCAATCGTGTCTGACTCTTTCCTATTCTGTGGACTATAGCCCGGCAGGGTCCTTTGTCCATGGAACTCCAGAATACTGGAGTAGGTAGCCATTCCTCTCTCCAGGGGATCTTCCCGACCCAGGGATTAAACCCAGGTCTCCTGTGTTGCAGGCAGACTCTTTATCATCTGAGCTACTAGGGAAGCCCTATAATCACTCTTAAGTATGCATAAAAAGGACAACATAAGGGAAATATATAAATT